TGACCAAACAAACCAGAGTCTGTCTAAACTGACCCTCCTCCTGTTTACCTACTGCAGGTCTTTGAGAGGAGCTCTGTGTGTGTGTGTGTGTGTGTGTGTGTGTGTGTGTGTGTGGAGGGGGAGGGCTGACCAGGAGGTTTCTGCTCAACAACAGTCCAGTTTAGGTCAGTCGGCGTCATGACCTCCAGGCTGTGCTTGTCTGTGTGTTGCTGGCTCTTGGTGTGGACGTCTGAAGCAGGAAGACAAATGCCTAAACTCTCCGACAGGAAGTTGTGCGCCGACTCCGACTGCAGCTGTGAGTAGCGTGACGGTTCATCTTCACCACGACTGTTACCTACGCTCGCCTCAAAATGTAACTTTCACCTGTGTGTGTGTGTGTGTGTGTGTGTGTGTGTGTGTGTGTGCCCAGACCCCATCCTGATGGCCCGTGCGGTGCAGGACTTCTACCCCGGCGACTGCAGGTTCATCCCCATCAGACAGGGGGAGCTGGTCTACGTCTACGCCATGTTGAAGGACAGAGGGAACCTGTTCTGGGCCGGCAGCGTGAGTAGAACACCACTCCGCTGAAGCCTCCTCACGAACATGAGCGTGTCAGTGATGTGGTGTTCAAACACAGGTGCAGGACTCCTATTATGGCCAGCAGGAGGCGCGCATCGGCCACTTCCCCAGCAGTGTAGTGGAGGAGACGCATCTGCTGATGGAAGCCAACACTGAAGTTAGGACTACTGTACGGACACACACACACAGACACACACACACACGCACACACGCTCCTCCTAAACTCTTCTTCTCTCCTCGTTTCCAGAAATGGGACTTCTACTGTAACTGAGAACCCAGACCTCGGCCTCAGTTCTGGTTCTGGTTCTGGTTCTGGTTCTTCTGGGTCAGCGCTGAAGACTCCTCTTCACAAATATATGATCATTGGTCTAAAAAACCATTAGCCTTCCTCTGAAATGACGTCACTACACATTTTATTCACTGATCAAGTGGCTCCCTCTACAGGCTTGTATGGAGAACTGCAGTCTACTAGAGTATTTCCAAACATCTAACTTCACTCCTCATTCCCTCACCTTCAGTACATCCATGTACTCTCTGTGTACTCTCTGTGTACTCTCCGTGTACTCTCCGTGTACTGGCTGACTATACTGTAGTGATGGAACTTCAGACTACTGTATGTCTAACAGTGTATTACTACTGTGATGACGTCATCAGTCCATATAAAAACAATGTATTTCTGTATATCAGTAGAACATGACAAATTATAATTCATGAAAAATAAAAATCTTTTTGCACAGCAGGTGTCGCTTTTTCACACTTTAGCTGTAAATTAATCGTGATCAATAACAATAATAATCCCTTGATCGTCATCGAACCCAGGACTCTGTGCTAACTGCTCTACTATTACAGTGTGACAGCAGGACTCTGTGCTAACTGCTCTACTATATTATACAGTGTGACAATTAATTGTGATGAATCGTGGTTAATCACAGATACATCAACATTCCTCTGGTTCACTAGAACCTGGACTGTTCTGTTCTAAAGAGAACACGCAGCAGAACGTGGCGTTTCAGCGTTTATTTCATGTCTCTCCACGTGACACAGTCGTTTTGTACATTCACAGAAACTCACTCACGTGCACGGACATTCAGGCGCGCACACAGGTGCACGGACATTCAGGCGCGCACACAGGTGCGCGGACACGTCTCCACAGCAGCTCATAATCCGCTCCGGTCTCTGCCCCAAAAAAGAAAAAGTTCGTTCCACAACCGCGACTCTTCCTCCTGCACATTCGTCTTCACCTTCTTCTGACACCGCTGACAAACGGAACATGAAAAAAACAAGAATATTTATCCAAAACAAATCTCACCGCACCGTGTGAACTTTGACCTGTAGGTGTCAGTACAGGTCACACATGTTCACGCTGCAGCTCTGCTGCTCATTTCTAGACTTCCGTCTCAGTTCAACGACATTAACGTCAGATGGCAGTTCAGACTGAGGTTGTCTTGAAGAACAATCGATACGATATCCGATTCACAGGTGATATCGACACTCGGTCTGAAGAATAACCGTTCATGCTGTCTGTGATGAGCATCACGCACTGTAGCGTCACCCAAACTAAACTATGTTGACGTGACAGATACAGTGGTGGGAGCAGAGCTGGCTCTTGGTGTAGACGATGTAGGCTTAGAGCGCTATCTGCTGGTGAGAAGCTGAAGCCATAAAAACAACAATTACAGCAGTCATTTCTTTGCCTTAAAAATAACAAAATGAGCAAAAAACGCGAAAAGGATAAAAAAGAATTTATTGCCACTGGAAATGACTTTGAATTAAATCTAAAGTGAAACTTCTTCTGGTTGATGAAATTTAATTAAATTATTTTTTAAATGTTATTCATGTTATTTAATATTATTTTAGTGTCTGTTTGTTTTTCTGTTCATCGGTCCATGGATGTGTTTGTGGAGATAATAGCCCTGCTGAGGGGATTATTATGGTCTGTCCTGTGTTATGACGTCATCGTCAGTTTGTGTCTGTTAGTGGTGAGACGCCGTCAGACTCGGCTCTACTTCTTCTCTTTGGATTTCCCCTCTTCACGTGTTATAGGAATGCTGCGCTCCGGCCGTGGTGAAGATCGCGGTGCGGTGATGGTCAACACACCGTCGGCCGACAGACTGGAGGAGACGTCCACGCCCGACACGCCAGCAGGAAGTCTGTACTTCCTCAGAAACTCACGTGACACAAAGCCGTGGTCGTCCTGGAAACAGAGGGTTGTCAGTTCAACTCCAGACACTGGTCGTTGATAGAAGTTTGTGTTTACCTCTCTGTCTTCGTGTTTGGCGTGGACCGTGATGAAGTTGTACCTGACGCTGACGGACAGCTCGTCAGGGGAGAAGTGCTTTACGTCCAGGTAAACGACAAAACGATCCTTTTCAATGCGCATCTGGAAAACGGCAAAGCAAAGCTGGCTTATTTGAACAGCACCAGTCACACAAGAGTCGACACTGGTATATTTGAACAGCACCAGTCACACAAGAGTCAACACTGGTATATGTGTGTGTGTGTATGTATCGTCAGAATATGTAAAGTACTACAGGTGGTGTAGTACTCTATGATCAGGGGGAACATGTAGATACCTAGGCTAAAAGCCTCTTAGCATTTTAGCACTTTAGCATAACTTTTACATGTCAATCGTCTTACTACACACAGACACACCCTGTATCTGCTCCTGATCCGGCCCCGTGTCAAGTTTTAGAACCCATTGTGGCCCAGGAGTCAACAGGTTTGCCCACGCCTGCTTTAGAATGTAGGACAAGGTACGCTGATGTTCAAAGTAAGGTTTGCACGCCACAGGTGGACGCCCTCTGGTGGGGTTTTTTTCAAATGTTTTGTCAAATGTTGGAAAATAAATAAAGGTCTACAGCAGAGGTCTACAGTGGAGGTCTACAGCAGAGGTCTACAGCTCCATGGAGGTCTACAGCAGAGGTCTACAGCAGAGGTTTACAGCAGAGGTCTACAGTGGAGGTCTGCAGCTCAGTCCTGGTTTAAGGTACCGTCGATGGTCACATCATCAAACAATAAAAGAAAAGCCTTGATATGACCACGGCCAACCTCTGGTTCCCAGGCCCCGGTTGGACGACCTGGTGGTCAGTAGGGGCAGTAGAACTCACCTCGCTGTGCTCCATGTCGACCCAGTTGAACAAACGTGAGAATGGACGAATCCAGGGGGGGGACCAGGAGAAAGGCTGGATCAGAGGCCAGTCCGTGAGAGGTTCTGCTGCGGTGAGGTCAGAACGTCGGTGTGGGAGGACCCTGCGGTACCAGGGGTACTGGATGGGGATGTCCATGGTCCGACTGCAGGAGAGGTCAAAGTGAATCTGAGGTCTGGTTAGCTGTCGCTGCAGCTCATTTATAGGCCTTACCAAACCTTCTGACCTGTGCCGTCTCCATCCACGTCCCCCGTCCCCCTCCCTCCCCTCTAGAACCTCCCATGTCCACTGGCACGGTGACTTGATCTTTGTGGAACAATGAGCTCCTCTGTTGTTCCCTCCACTGCTCTCATTGTTTGATCTCTGGGACTGAGACCTGTTGTCTCTTCCTTCTCTCTGTCACAAGCTGACATTGGCTCAGAGAACTGCTGATGCCCCACTAAATACCCCTGTCTGCTGTAGGTCTGTGGTTTGTTTGCCAGAGTATTAGTGTGCTGCGTTTCCAGTGCCAGAAGCTTTAGGTCTGTGAGCAGAGTGGAAGTGAAGCTGAATGAGAAGTGATGAGTTTGTGTTAGGCCAGCGTTGGACCACAGTCCTGATAACTACCTCAGTATGACCTCACACCCAAAAAATACACCTGTTTGAAATCAGTTTCAAAGGATAACTACCTCAGTATGACCTCACACCGAAAAAATACACCTGTTTCAAAGAGTCGACGTCATGTCTGAGTAAAAAAAGTCAATCAATAGTTTTGTACTCCACTGGCATTGAGAACAAAGTTCATATTTTTATGATAACAAAGTGAGTTCTGTTTCATAATTCCATTTTTATTTTAAGAAAAAAATGAATTTGAAAAAAACTGAAGAGTTTGATTTTTGAAGTTTATTCGTGACACAACTGAAGAGTTTGATTTTTGAAGTTTATTTGTGACACAAAATAATATGAAAAAAATTACAAAAAGAAAGATATTTGCTGGGACTTTGATTATGTATTCTACTGCATGTCATCTACTGTAGTACTGCACTGTAAAGTATTCACTACTGTTCATACATTTAGTCATTGAATGTCATTTTACTGTTTGGACAGTACGTGTGTGTGTGGGGGGAGTGTGGGGGGGAGTAAGGAAGGGAGGGAGGAGATGAAGTGGGCTCCTTTAATCTGAAAGGACATTAAAGGAAAAGTAAAGAAGCTCCAACACACACTCTCTGCTGATCCAGGGTCAGAGATGACGGACATGACCTCTGGTCCTGGTCTGGTTCACCTGGAGCAGGAGGGGTAGTGGGCTAGAGACCCGCTGACGATGACGTCAGGAGCACCAGCGACACAAGCGTGTCCACAGACTGTCAGTAAAAGTGCGACTCCTCCCGCTCCTCCTCCCCCCCCTCCGCCCCCTCCCGCCACCAAGGTCGGCGCCACCTTG